GGGGGGGGGGGGGGGGGGAGTTCAGACAGCCTAAATGCAGGTTACTTTCTGTTTTCTTTTTGTAGTAACGGTAGTTATTATTAAGAATTTTAGGTAATAATTATTAGGTTCATTATTTGGAGCATTGGGGCATTACTTAGGGAATCGCGTCCTTGCCATTTTTCTCGAGTAGAAAATTATCATAGATGCACCTGACTCTTACGGATTATTAAGTGCGCAGATTTATGGCCTAGGATCATAAGGGCAACCAATTGCATCGTTTAGTGTTCTTCTAGAGTCCCAATCTTCTCGATTTTCTGGTTATAACAGCTTGTCATATTTGTGATAACTCTTAAGGGTTAGGTATATAAGTAAATGTTTGTGGCTTAACCTTTGTGGTCCTCTTAAAATCTTCAAAATTAGGCATACTGGTAATGATCTTGGCTTCAACCTGAGTGGTCCTGGCTCTAAAGTCCTTTGGGGTTATGGTAAATCTCAGATTAAATTTAAAACTTACCGAGTATCAAGGACTCAAGAATTCTTGTTGCCGAAAGAAGTTTTAGCTTTCCATCATACTTTTCCTGATGATTACTGTAGTTCATTAGGTTTTACCAATAGCATATGAGAGAACTTTATTAATACAAGTAGGGAATAGCCATAGAAAAAGAATATACTAAAATTATATTTGTTATAGCTAATTGTATGGTACCATGTATTTTTGGGAGGAAAGCTTGTGTCATGTTGTGTGATCTAAAATAAGGAGGTTCGTTTATATTCTATAATTACGCTTTTTAAACTGTCAGAAGAAGTTAACTAGAAGTTTGACAATTATGCTATTTTTCTCTCATATCAGGTATGATAAATATTATCAGACACCACGTGTTTGGCTTACAGGATATGACGAGGTTTGTGATTGTATTCTTCTTCAATTCTTAGTTTCTGGGGGAACTTTGGATCTTATACATCAAATCACTATGCATTCATTTACTAAGACGTTTGAATTAAGGCCAGTATCTTAAGTTTGTGTCTATTTTTCTAGTAATGAATGGCATATCAACCAACAATCCATGTTGTAAGATACCTTCTGTATACACAGACTTCCTTTTTCTCTTCAGATTTATTCTTTTATCTTGTTCCTTAATTATTTATGTGTCTGTCTCTTGGTATTGAAGTATTGATATACTATACTGCTCCTATGATCAACTCTACATTGCTGACACTGCTTCAATTTCTTAGAGTTTTCTTGCGATGTAAACAATAGAATATAACTTTTTTACAATGGGCAGCAATTTTTTTTTTTTTTTTTTCCTATTACTATGCAACTTCTTTTAATGCTTGTTTACTCAACTTCTATTAGCACACGCATATTTAAATCGTTGTGTACTATTTCAGTCAAGGATGCTCTTACAGCCAGAACTTGTACTTGAAGATGTTAGTCAAGATCATGCACGAAAAACGGTATGTTGTGAGTATGTAATAATGTAGTGGTGCCATCCTGTTATGAGGCCCATCATTTATTCTATATTATTTTCAGATGAACCGTATTCTTAGGATTGATTTGTTGTACCTTTTGTTATGCCACGCTGTTCAAAGAAAAGAGGTAAACAAACATTAAAAATCGAGAATTAGCTCTTACATCCAAATTCGAGACTTTATGAAATCTGAGAACTTGAACATAACACAAACACACACAAAAGGAAGAAGGAAAGCCAGAGGTAAAAACTTCTTTGTTAGCACTAAGCTTTGCCTTTGCCCTCTTTATACAAATTCCTCAACTTCATCTTCGTTATCCTATGAAACCTATCTCAAGTTCTGCAGCTAAAAAATCAAAATGACGATGACTGTAAACAACAGTAACTCACATCATATCCAGAAAGGAAGGCTCGGCAATTAAAACATAATATTTTCACGATACTTTTAGGTGAAGTGAGAGTTCGAAAGAATAACTAACACCCAACGCCCAATCTATAACCCAAATGTATGGTTGGATTAGGTTCATCAACTGAATCGTCATTTTAAGTTCAAGTTCTCATATTTTATGAATTGTCGAATCTGGATCCTTGTGGTACGATAATACATAATTTTCATGCTTAAGATGACCAGCAAGAATCTCTTTTAGATGTGGTATGCTGAACTCATATCGGGGAGTCTGGAGGACCCATGCATTTGTTTTGTTGTCTACAAATTTTTTCATCCAAAAGTGTCATGTGGAACATGATTTTCCAATTATGTTTTAAATTCAATCTCTGGGATACAGGTGACCATTGAGGATCATCCCCACCTACCTGGAAAGCATGCGTCTGTACATCCCTGCAGACATGGGGCTGTGATGAAAAAGATCATTGATGTGTTAATGTCCCGAGGCGTAGAACCTGAAGTTCACAAGTACGTTAAACTTTATTTACAGCAGATCTAGTTTTGGAGACCAGCTATGGTAGTTCCTGACCAAGTATCTCAAGCTCTTATACTTATTAATTTATTTCTTCCATTTTTTTTTGTAGGTATCTTTTCTTGTTCTTAAAATTTGTTGCATCTGTTATTCCAACTATCGAATATGATTACACTATGGACTTTGATCTTGGCGGCCCTACCAGTCGATAACTGGGATTGATAAGCATTGTGAGCACATCCGGGTCATAGTTCCTTTTTCAGCTTCCAGCATCCATCTTAAATTCATGCTTGTGTACATCAAAATTACTGCGGATTCTTCTTTTTAGCATTATTTATTGGAGCTTTATTTTGGGTCAAGTAAATTGCATGTACAGATTATGTAGTCTCTTTTCTTAGTACTATTTTCCATCTTGCCAATATTGGTTTTAGACTGTAAATTTGTTGATTTTTTAGCTATTTCCTCTTGTAGAGACACTGAATTGTTTGCACTCCTTAACTATGTTCTTGCTAATGATAAAGATAATTCGTGTTTTAGTAGCACTTCTATGAGTAGGAACATTTTGATACATGACTCATTGATATAGCATGCTGGTATAAGTTTCCATTCTACGAACGTCGATAATAGACTGCCATTTCCGTACTGCTCTGATTTCTGTTACTCGAATCCAGCCTGACGTTTTTTAACATGTTTGAGCGATGCAGATCAGATTGTACGCAAGTGGGATATTTCACATCTGTTGTTTCTGCAAATACAGGCCGACCCTCAGCTTCGCGTACATACACAACCTGGGGTCTATAAACGGTACCTCTCTGGATATATATTGTCTTTTGGAAGTGTTAGTCTTGCCATTGCTTTCTGTCAGTCTTAGTTTGGGCACAAGGATTCTTTGTGGTTCGCTTTAACATAACATGAAGCTGTCGGTCAATCGTAATTTGTTTGCTACTGAACTATATAGCAGCAGAAACTCATTCCTCTTATTGGGAGAATTTTGATTGAATACAGTTATGTAAATAACCCTTAACATCTCTGTTCAGGTAAGTCCATGTTTATGTAGAATTGGAAGTATTTGTACAGATGCTTACAAAGTTTTCTACATGTTTATCTCAAAATTTTAATCATTCTTCCAATGCTTGTGTAGGAAAAACAATAAATAACCATAGAAAATTAAACATTAAAATGAGCTACATGTGTTAGGAATTTACAGGTCCAGAACATTTCAAAATGGACCAAAACTCGGTTAAAGATAGGGTATAAATGAGAGGAAACACAAAGGAAAGAGAAAAATCAAGAATTCGAGCCAAAACCTTGACTCTCAGTCTCTATAAGACGCAAATCTGAACCTTGCAGGTATAGAAATCCAACCTCAGTAGCCATACTGATCTCAACCAATTATGGAAAATTAATGAGAGTGTTTGTTATAATTGAGAACTAAGAAGTATTGACCGAACATAAACTACCAAAGAGTTATGAGAGTATATACAAAATTAAAAGTTTAAAACCTATAGAACACTTTTTTGGGGATCATGATAAATTTGACCGTTAATCAAAGATTTAGTCAAAAAAAAAAAAAAAAAAAAATCACATGCCAATATAGATATTTTTATGAAATGATAGTATAACCGTCCAAGCCCACCATTTCTTACGATCCAAACTTACTGCTAGCAAATAATCATCTTTGAAATTTTCTTTTCGAGCTTTCCCCTCACCGATATGGGATCTCACAGATATTAATACTAAAAATATTTGGATGAACTACAGATGAATAGACGTGTATTTGTGCCTACATATATTTATCCATAGATATGTAGGTGCCTACATATATTCATCAACCAGTAAATATGAAGATTTGATACCAACATTTGAACCTTTATCTTTTAACTTTTAAATATGAAGATTTGATACCAATAGGTGGGATAGCCCAAATAATAGTATTCGAGGTTTACAACAACAATACCTAAACATTGAGATCTGTTGCATAATAAGGACACAGATTCCAGAAGGATAGACATAGATTCCAGCGGCATGGATGGACTATAACAGAAGTAGAACTCGTTTAGCTCTCGTATTATAACCGGAGACATAAGAGGATAAGACATCTATCAACATGCAGTAAATAGAATCGAACTCCAGTTTTCACATGTCCGTGATTCTTTGGAGGAATAAAAGAGACAATGGTGCTGTGGGCTGCTTGGTAAGTAGTATTGGTTCTTTTGGAATAACCTCAACAAGCTAATGCCAGTACCGTCAGATCAGAAACAAAGAAGTACGATATAAAAGAAAGAGGATTAATGCGAGATCCCACGTTGGTTGGAGAGGGAAACGAAACAAGTATGAAAACCTCTCCCTGGTATCTGCTCCTCCCCAACCGATGTGGGATCTCACAATCCATCCCCTTCAAGGCTCGGCCTCCTTGCTGGCACACCCCCTCGTGTCCACGTCCTTTGGGACTCAGCCTCCTCGGCACATCCCCTGGTATCTGGCTCTGATACCATTTGTAACGGCCCAAGCCCACCGCTAGCAGATATTGTCCTCTTGGACTTTTCCTTTCGAGCTTCTCCTCAAGGTGTTTGAAACGCGTCTGCTAGGGAGAGGTTTCCACTCCTTTATAAAGAAGGTTTCGTTCTCCTCCCTAACCGATGTGGAATCTCACATATCTTCAATAGAATTCTCTCTTTGACTTTTCAAACCCCCTTGGATTCATATGGATTACACCATGTCACAGAAAATGGAGGAGTTTTTAACATGAAGGATGATGTTGTCCGAGAATCAGCTTTTTGTAGAGACAGAAGGTGGAGTTTTTGATGTATCAGGGATTGAAGTCATTGATGAGTCTCAGTCTATAATTTGTCCCAGCTTTTGATTCTATTATTGATCGAACAAAATCAATTGTTACAGCAAGAACATGGTGAACTCAGAGTTTAATATCAAATATTTCAGACATGTCATATAAATATTAACCATATATAAAAAAGTGAACAAAAGGGAACTCATAAAGATAATTAACTCACCAGCCCTGTCCGAATGGTGGCAAAGGAATTTCCCAATTTTTTCCTCGCAGAACAGCACTTGTAAATCTAAACACCCAGATTCAAACTCAATATCAAATCAAATGTACATTATATGCTAATTTGATTGCTTTAAAATACAACCATTGAATTGAAACAGCAATTCATCTATGAACACTAAATTAAAGGCACATTGGTATGGATTAAAAGCAGAGGCAGAGAGAACATACCTAAAATTCACTCTCTGAGAGGAAGCAACTTCAATGCTGGATCGAACGAAGAAAACCCCATCTGGAGGAAAAGTGATGACATTATTAAGACTCTTTTTCTTGACATCAATCACCTGCAAAACATCCCCAGCTTGAGTACCAAACAAGTGAGCCTTCTCAATGATGAACAGCTGCTCTTTCTCAGTGGTCCATAGAAGACGCCATGTCGCAGAAAGTGAATCGTCCGTTGTGACAGAATTCGGGGCCAGAGACGCCAAGGCGTCGATTGATTTCACAATTGAAGCAAGTTTCTGAGGGCTTTTCTGGGTCTTGAGACCTCTTTCTTGGTCGGAGATGAGGGCGAGGAGTTGGTCTTTGGGTGATTGAGATTGAATGGATATGGAAGAACAAGAGATTTTGGGGGGTTGAGAGAGATGGGTTCCAATGGAAGAAGAAGGGGAATTGAAGGGACGCGATGGAAGGGAGAGGGATTTGGCCATAATGAGAAAATTATGTGATCATCCATCCTCGATGAGTTTTTTTCTAGGGATTATTTCACAATTTTTGTGAAATAAAAAAGAGAAAAATATATATATGAAGTAGATCGTTCTCTGAACAGTTTAAGAAAGTAAAATGTAGAGAAAATAAATCAAACAGAGTACCTCAAAAAATCTAGAAAAACCCTAACCTTGTCGCGACGTAGTGGTTCTTGGCTAGGTGAAACGACGATGGCAACAGAGGCCCTCGGATCATTTTCTCGACTTTCTTTGCCACTTTAGCTCTCGAATCCATGAATGACAATCGGAACTCCTTCCATTCCTCTAATCTCATCCTTTCTATCGCCTCCTCCCGCCAAAATTCGCCGTTATTTCTCGATTTCTCCGACACGTGAGTTAATTCTTCTGCTCGCTTCTTCGCCACTTCAAACTTAGACACTAAATCGGCGAAATCGCGATTAAACTCCGTTACAGGAACAAAATTCTCGGCCGGCTTCGGCGGCGACAAATTTCGAGTCAGATACCGATCCAAAGGCACGTCAACATTCGGATGACCAAAACAAAAAACCGAGAGAAGGCAATGATGGCAACCTCTGCTCCGCAAAGCACAACCATCTTGAAAAGTCCGACCCACAAGATTCATAAATTTACAAGATTCTCACTTAAGTATCTCTTTAAAAAAAATACTTATAAAATTTTAAAAATAACATTAATGAGAAAGAGAAAAAAAAATTACCCTTAAAATGGAATGGAAGTGAGAGATGATTTGCCAATGTAAATAGACATTTTAAACCGGTGTATTAAAACATTTTTAATAAAATTTAAACCTATTAATCCTATTTTTTAAAAAATTAATTTAGATTCTTGAGTATAAGATATTTTTTTAACATTTTTGGAAGTTTGAAAGTTTGAGATTAAGTTAACCAATTTGTCCTATTTTTAGACTAAATTTATATTTCTTCCTCTATAAATAGTATCAAACTCTCATTTCTTCTTCACTTCAAACTCCACTAACAAACCAAATTCCACAATGAATTTCTTCACTCTCCTAGCTATTCTTTTCGGATTCTCCTTTTGTTCTCTGTTTATTGGCAATGGCCCTGTCGTCGTTCAAGCTCTCCATAAAATCTATCCTGAATTACAGTCTCTCGAAAATGGCAACGACACCACCACCGAGATCAAGCAGCTCCATCGAACCGACTTCCACTTTCAACCTCATCGTCACTAAATGAACGGTTCGTAATTTCTTCATTTTCATTCCTTCCTTTCCTCCGGTTGTTAACAATGTATTTCCTCCGATTCATTCCCTCCATAAACATGTCATCTTATGCAGGCCCGAATGGCCCAATGTACTTCAAGGGAATCTACCATCTCTTCTACCAATACAACCCTGAAGGCGCGGTTTGGGGGAACATTGTCTGGGCTCACTCAATTTCCAAAGATCTTATCAATTGGAAGTCACTCAAACCTGCGCTTTCCCCCTCAAAGCCCTTTGATATCAATGGCTGCTGGTCTGGCTCCGCCACCGTCCTCCCCGGCCTCAAGCCCGTCATTTTGTACACTGGAATCGACTCCCAGAATCGACAGGTACAAAACTACGCCATTCCAGCGAACCTCTCTGATCCGCATCTAACCGAGTGGGTCAAACCGGATAATAATCCGATTGTTGACCCGGGTACGGAGGTCAATAGTAGCGCCTTTCGAGACCCGTCGACGGCGTGGCTGAGCCTCAACGGTCACTGGAACACCATCATTGGCAGCAGGAGCGAGCAGACGGGAATGGCGTATTTGTATAGAAGTAGGGATTTTTTGAATTGGACTAAGGTGGAACAGCCTTTACATTCGGTTCCGAATACTGGGATGTGGGAGTGCCCTGATTTCTACCCAGTTTCCCACTTCGGTAGATTTGGCTTGGACACGTCGGTGATGGGAAATTGGTTTAAACATGTGTTGAAGGTGAGCTTGGAGATGACTAGATATGAGTATTATACGCTGGGGAAGTATTATCCGATGACGGACAAGTATGTTCCCGATAATACCTCGGCGGATGGGTGGAGTGGGCTGAGGTATGACTATGGCAATTTCTATGCTTCCAAGTCGTTCTATGATCCGATGAAGAAGAGAAGGGTTTTGTGGGGTTGGGCTAATGAATCTGATAGTGTCCAGGATGATGTTTCCAAGGGATGGGCGGGAATTCAGGTTTGTTTTACATCCAATGTGCTCCGTTTTGTTCTATTTTTAATTGAATTTGTTCTATTTTGTATTTGGGTCAACCTTTTCTTTCTCCTTTTCCTAGGCCATTCCTAGGATGGTGTGGTTGGATCCCAATGGAAAGCAGCTCTTACAATGGCCAGTTCTGGAGCTCAATAGGCTGAGACGGAAGATAGTTATGATGCTAAATCAAAAGCTAGTCAAGGGACAAAATGTTGAGATCAAAGGAATTACTGCGGCTCAGGTTGTTTAATTTATAACGAATCCGATCTTAACCCAAATCCCCGACAGTGGTTTGTAGCGGGTTAAGAAGATGTGAAAGCACCTCTAAGATTTAAGGGAACAAACAGGTGTCATTTGATCGATTGTTTCTTGTGTTTTATACAGGCCGATGTTGAAGTTATCTTTAGCTTTTCGAGTTTGGATAACGCGGAGGCATTTGATCCAAGTTGGGTTGACGCGCAAGCCGTGTGCAGTCAGCTGGGATCCACGGCCCAAGGTGGTGTCGGACCCTTTGGGCTTTTGACTCTGGCTTCAGAAAACCTCGAGGAGTTCACTCCTGTGTTCTTCAGGATCTTCAAGGCAGAGGCTAGTCACGTGGTTCTTATGTGTTCTGATGCAAGAAGGTAGCTTCAATTCCCTTATCAAAGGACCTTATAATTATTTTTTTATATTTACAAAGCTCTGGTTTCTCTCTTTTGGTGTAGCTCATCTTTGAAAGATGGATTATACAAGCCGACATTTGCGGGTTTCGTCGACATCGATTTGTCGAGTAAAAAGCTCTCATTAAGAAGCTTGGTACGTAAAGTCATAGTCCAATACATTCTCGCACCGTATCGACAAATCTAATCTATGTATTATTGTGCAGATTGATCACTCGGTGATAGAGAGCTTTGGTGGGGGAGGAAAAACATGCATAACTTCGAGGGTATACCCAACAAAGGCGGTGTTTGGGGATGCTCATTTGCATGTTTTCAACAATGGAACAGAGTCTATCACGGTGGAGTATTTAAGTGCTTGGAGTATGAGAAGTGCTTGGGTGAACTAAGTCTTTTTTAAGTTGGAACAGCTTTCTAACCGCTAATAATGTTAGAACTAACTCTTAGTTTTTGATTAATTAAGGTTGTAATGGTAGATTAGCCTCCTTTTTTGTCTATGAATAAAGAGTTAGATTTTCAGAATTTCCCTTTGTTGATCTTTATTAATTTATAAATACTTTTAGTATTATAACAATTAATTCTATAGACAACCCTTGACACCCAGTATGAAAATAAATAAAGTATAAACAGCTAAAAATATACTTTTATAAATTCAAATTAAAAAAATTAATAAAGAAATAAATTCCTTTTTGAATAAGGTTCTTGCATTATTGTGGAGCAAGTACATTTTATAAAGTTATTCTCATATTTCAAGTTATAAGATCTTCATTTATTTCTTACATTCATATATTAATTTTTTTAAATAATAAACCATTAACCCTAATGTTTTCTTCCTTGATGCTTTAAAGTTTTGAAATACCTTCCTCCTCTTCAATAAGAAAATCATGTAACACGAGTTACATTTCTACTAGTTAGAAGTGAACTCGAGTTGGGTTGAAAAAATCTTTTGGACCAACCTAAAATTTCAGGTTGATTGAATGTTAGGCAATGTGAGATAGTCAACAATTGTTCAATTTGAACCGGGCCTATAATAGGGCTAGGCTAGACTCTTCCTAGAAAAAAAGACTTAGACTATGGGTAGTTGGTGATTCGATATATATGGGTAGCAAGAGGGCGCTTATGCCCCGATGGTGGGGCCTTATGGGGTAGGGCCCACCCTAATAGGGACTGCACACCCCCACTTTAAGCGCACCTCTGTCCCCGATGGTGGGCCTTATGGGGAAGGTGGGGAAGGGCTCTCCCCAATAGTGACAGCACAGCCTTATGGGGAAGGTGGGGAAGGGCTCACCCCAATAGGGACAACACACCCCCACTTTAAGCGCACCTCTGTCCCCGATGGTGGGCCTTATGGGGAAGGTGGGGAAGGGCTGACCCCAATAGTGACAGCACAGCCTTATGGGGAAGGTGCGGAAGGGCTCACTCCAATAGGGACAGCACACCCCCACTTTAAGCGCACCTCTGTCCCCGATGGTGGGCCTTATGGGGAAGGTGGGGAAGGGCTCACCCCAATAGTGACAGCACACCCCCACTTTAAGCGCATTGTATCACTTTTTCACTCTTTCTAGTTGGTGGAATCAGTGAACCACGCGAGCAGGTTAGATGTGTGGGGCAGAGGGTTCGTAGTACCCCCTTTTCTTGATCTAGCCTTTTTTTCCCCATTTTCTTTGCTGAATCACCTACTAAAAGGCAAGCCTGCACGCTGAGACTGACTACTAAGGACTACTAAGGTAGGCGGTGGACTCTTTCATTAGGGAAGGGAAGAAGGGGCCTAAGCACGACAGATGCTGTACATACACTTGAGTGGAAAAGGAAAGCGAGATCGTACCTCTTTTTCCAGGCCTGTTCGGACATACGGTTCCCGCGAAAGATCAACTTGATGAGCCGTGTGAATGGAAAACCTTCCGCACGGTTCAGAGAGCACTGAACTAGAATGAGAGGTTCATCACCACATCATTGCATGCAAGAGGAGCTAGCTCGATTTGCAAATCAGTCCGAAATTCACTTTTGACTCTGTGTTCGATAGCCTGACCATAGTGATGCTAATTGTGGTTACATTCATAAGTAGCTTGGTCCATCTTTATTCCATTTCATATATGTCTGAGGATCCGCATAGCACTTACATTCATAAGTAGCTTGGTCCATCTTTATTCCATTTCATATATGTCTGAGGATCCGCATAGCACTCGATTTATGTGTTATTTATCCATTTTTACTTTTTTTATGCCAATGTTGGTGACTGGAGATAAGTCTCTTCAATTATTTATAGGATGAGAAGGAGTAGGTCTTGCTTCATATTTGTTAATTCATTTCTGGTTTATACGATTTCAGGCAGATAAAGCAGCTATAAAAGCTATGCCTGTCAATCGAGTAGGTGATTTTGGATTAGCTCTTGGGATTTCGGGTCGTTTTACTCTATTTCAAACAGTAGACTTTTCAACTATTTTTGCTCATGCTGGTGCCCCAGAAATTCTTGGATTTCTTGCAATATGAGATTGAATGCCATAACTCTCATTTGTATTTTACTTCTTATTAGTGCTGTTGGGAAATTCGCACAGATAGGATCGCATACTTGGTCACTCCATGCTATAGAGGGGCCCACTCCAGTATCCGCTTCAATTCATGCAGCTACTATGGTAACAGCTGGCGTTTTCATGATAGCAAGGTGCTCCCCTTTATTTGAATACCCACTTACGGCTTTGATTGTTATTACTTTTGCA